AATACACTGCGCTTATACAGCCAACTTCAGCACTTTTATCGAGAGGTTACCTCGCTCCATTACTTATGATGCCTTTAAATGCCTTATCCCTTTCTGTTTTGAAAATGCGCAAGCCGATGCGCCGCTTACAATCGATAAATCGATTCGTTATACTGACTACACTTATGACTTTGTTCATTCCAAGAATGAACTGCGTAACATAACAGTACAGCCGCCGATGAAACACATATCCGCTTCGGTGACCACACTTTGCACCAGGAGTAGCAATCTCAGCTCCGACATAGCCGATCATACTCCCTCCGTGTTTGAGTTCAAGTACAGAAAGATTTCGAGTAATTCCGCTTTACATTTCTGCCGCTAGGGTGATGATCTACTCGCGGTAAATTGCTCGAATTTTGACCGTTTTAAAGCACATTTGTATGGACAAAATAGGAGACTGAATGTACTGATTTTGCATCTGAAGTTCCTCGACATTACCTTTACTACCGATAATAATAGACATCCCGTTACTTCGTTTTATAACGAAACTGACTTTTTTAGTTCTACCTGTCAGTAAGTACTCTTTTACTGACAGCAATGCAAACAGTTCCATCCATCCTAATATTGTTTACAGTCAACTAGTTTGTTACCACCGCACTGAGACTGCGTTACGCGGCTTTATCTTCCTGGCTCCACGCCTCAAACTATCTCATAGAGCAACAGGCCTTTCTTATGAGTGTGCTTGTAGAATCTGTTGGTCCTTTATCAGTAGCAAACAGCTTTTGCTAATTAAATACTTTTACCCCGCCGCAGCAAGCTTTCGTAGCCTCTTATTCAACTCGACGCCTTAGCCTGTCTCAACTGCATAACCGCGTAATCTTCCCGTTTCAGTCCAGAATTACCTTCCCCTCCTAACTTTTTTGCTCTTCCCATGCTTCCTCCCAACAAAGTTCTACGTTACATTAAAAGATTGTATTGATTCCTCGAAAAACTTAAGCTCCTGGTGCTACGCTTCGTTACTTGCTCCAAGCCAGAGCATTTTCAGTCATCAGTATCAACGAACCTATATACTTCCCCAAAACCTTTCAAATTTTCAGTATTTCTATTACCAAATAACACTATACTCTACTATTTCTGCTTATATGTGCTTCACTTGGAATATGCTAAAACGGTGAGCGTTGAGAATTCTAAAACAGCAAGCCCGCAAAATCTTTCAAAGGAGCAACGATCCGCAAATCGAAATTTACAGTTGCTAAGAATTTCAGGAGTACTTTCAAAGCTCAATTCTGTGCACTGCTCAACCAAATTTCGCAAGCTGCAAAACCAAATCACAAACCCATGAACGACAGGGAAGTGAGAGCTCGTGGGTTGCAAAATCAGGCTTTCTAAGCAAAATTCAAGCATGCTGCTGTGAAAATTGGCCTCTTCAGTCACCCAAGACCAGTTTGTTAAAATCTGCCCAAAACTGTAAAAAACAAAAAGAAAAACCCAGGTCAGTGTCCCTCGAAGAAAACTCACAGAGAAAATTAAGAAGGAAACTACACATAAAAAAAAAAGAAACGGGCTCACCGAGTCAAACACTGAAGAAAATGGAGAGCCATACGGGCTTTTGCAAATACCTCTCCTTCAAAGCAAGGGAAGAAGGTTTACAAAAAAGACAGCTACGGACGCATTAACTTCCTTTTTATGAGCTTCCAATTTATGCAGATAGTATAGTGACTTCCACCGCTGATATTTAATCTGGCAAAAAAAAATCCCCGCTACCAACTCAACGAAGCTATGCAGGCCGCTGCCACTAACTGCAATACTAATGAATAAATCCAATAACACACAATGCTTACAGATATAGTACTGGAATGAGAACATAAACTAACGTCATCCTCGTTAATTTCATTTTTATCCTTCACTTTTGGCGGATCAAAGAAGTTGAAAAACGAATCCACTTTAATAACTTTGGTGACAAATCGGCTAGCGCCACTTGTGCCTCTCCTCTGTTTTTTCTTGATAACCTTCTTTGTAACGTTTTTGCCATCCTTCCAGTCAATCTGTGTACTGAAAAAAAACACCGTAGAAGTGTTCAAATTTCGATGAACACAGACTTCTTCATAAGTACCCTTCTCTGCAGTGAGAGCAATAACTCTGTCTCGCCACATTTTTGCCCTTGCCTTTCGTACTCTCCGGATCCTTTCATAGTCTAAAAGTGAAACCGGCATACGAGACTACTTTGTACTGAGACAGACCATCTCCCTGTCTCTCATACGATGGCAGTGTAATCATCAGCAAAAGTTTACTTACAAGTACGCAAATGATTTCCTTTCCTGAAGAACTGTTAGGAAAGTGAAGTAACTAGAAAGTTTTGTCCCTTGTATGATACACCAATCTGTACTATTTATCACTTGAAGGTACTAATACCAAACGAATCCGAACTGTAACGGTACCAAAGTCTCAAGACCTCATCAGATCTACATGCCGTTCCACAAGCTAACAAGACACTGCAGTCAAAATTAAACATACCCTTTAGTATTAATCACAAGCGGGCCGTCATAATCAAATATCTCATCCGGTTTAGGATGAACCTGAAGTTCGTACCACTTCTTCAATTCGGTTTGCGTGAAATATTCATTGGGTCCAAAATGGAACACCAGCGTGTAAGACTGAAAATTTTCAAAGGGAACCAAAATGTGCATCGAGAAGTTGAATTCAGCTCCAGAACTGTGAATATCAAGAAGCGGTTTGAAAGCATGCTCGCCCAGTCACCAAAAATCGAAGGCGCAGAATCAATTTTACGCCTTCCATACGTGCAGAATTCTGCTTCGGTGGGAACGTCAACAAGGTTAGTCACATCTCAAAACTTCGCATATAACTGCATTTAACAGGCATAATTTTAGAACATAACCCACGGCCACGTACGAATTCAGAAACATAATTAACTTCTATCGTTTTATAAGCTCTGCGATAAAAATGCACAGATTCATGAGCCTATACACCCAAAATAATTTCGAAAAAAAAAAGTGTTTACATAAGCCTTTGGTGCACAAGCAACCAATTTAGACCCGGCATACCCACTGGCAAATCATTCACCTGCGCACGGCTTACGTGTGCCCTTCAAATACTACATCAATCTGAAGCGTATTCGAAAGAATTATCGTCGAAACTTCCAACCGAGAAAATTAACTGCAGTCTAAGGTACTATCACGTGCCTAATTATAATTATGCCTTCTGCAATCAAAAATTTTATTGTACTGATGCGTGTAGCTCCGGCTCCTCTCGATCTTAAGATACTATTTTTAACTGTTAAAATTTGTATAAACGAACATGAAAGCTCTGTATTTCACCTAACATCAGCCATCGAATTCTCGGTGATACAAACAGAACCTCTGCGCATAAGCGAACGCTTTGAGCAAGTATTTTAAATGATTTTTTATTCCCAAGTAACCACAAAGAAGACCTATTTATCAAAACAAGCTCCATGATTTGCTTACTATAAAGAACGCACACTTCAGCAGCACAAACCAACGACGACCATTCGTCTGCGAGGCTGCAGA